CCCCCCCCGCCTCTGCCTCCCAAAGGGCTGGGATGACAGGCGTGAGCCACCGCGCCCGGCCTCCAATGACGATAACTGAGGGTGGTGACAACATTGAGGTGGGCTTGGTCACCTGCACCCTGTGACTCCTTACTGGGAATACACAGATCCTGCAGAGGCCGGCCTCGGCCGGAGGCTGATCCCCGAGGGAGGAGCAGGAGGAAGCCCATGTCCAGACTGCACCTCACACTGTGTGATGGCGACGCCTGGGCGCTCCATTCCTCCTCCTACCCCACCGACGCCTCCTCCGAGAAGCTCACCTGGCTTCACTGTCTCCCACACAGATTGCGGAAAAACCTGAAGTCCCTGATTATCGTCCACCCCTCGTGGTTTATCCGGACGGTGCTGGCGATCTCCCGGCCCTTTATCAGGTGAGACATGGGCAGCGCACCTGAGACCCAGGCCCTGTGGAGGCCGGGTGGGGGGGTGATCTCCATTTCTAGTTCCTTTCTGCTGAACGTGCATGATGGCTTTAAGCAGTTTTAAGTCACACAGGCAGTACGCACATAGTGTGTGTGTTATATTATGTATATTACGTATATGTAGTTAATGCATTAAGCACCGGCCAGGTGTGGTGGCGTGAGCCTGTCATCCCAGGACTTTGGGAGGCCCCGGCAGGAGGAACATTTGAGGCCAGGAGTTCGAGACCAGCCTGAGCAATAGAGCGAGACTCCGTCTCTACAAAAATAAATAAATGAAAAACAGGTGGGATGTGTCCCCCTTGAAAAGCCGAGGAGACAGAGGCTGGTTGTGAGCTGGTCTACCACCTGGGTTTCCATCATCGTAATAAAAAAGGAAGCTTAGCCGGGCTCAGTGGCTCAGCCTGTCATCCCGCGCCTTGGGAGGCTGAGGTGAGTGGACGGCCTGAGCCCGCGGGTTTGAGACCCACCTGGGCAACTTGGCGAGACCTCGTCTCTACAATCAATCAAAAAATGAGCCGGGCACGGTGCTAGAGCCCAGCAGGTCGAGGCTGCCGTGACCGGGGAGCGGCCACTGCACTCCAGTCTGGGTGACGGAGTGAGACTCCAACAACAACAACAAAAAAAAAGAAGCTTCATTTTGTTCCATGATGATCTAAATGCTGATGTGTGCCTTACCCTTGACTGGAACCTGCCTCCCCGAAGGCCTCTGTGAGACAGAAACCTCGAGTCTTGGGCAGCACGGGACACTGTCTCAGCCGAGACGCGGAGATTGGTTTCCGGCGATGGGTGTGGTGGCATTACCACGCCATCGTCATCTGGGACTCGTGCCTGTCCTTATAGAGACCCGTCCTCAGAGATATAGAGGTCTAAAATTTTTTTTGTTTGAGTTGGAGTCTCACTCTGTCGCCAAGGCCAGAGTGCAGTGGCCAGCTTCTGGTCACCGCAGCCTCGACCTGCCGGGCTCCGGCGATCCTTCCTGCCTCAGCCTTCCAAGGAGCCGGAACTACAGACACGCGCTACCACGCCCGGCTGATTTTTGATTTTTTAATTTTATTTTATTGTAGAGACAGGTCTCACCAAGCTGCCTGGGCTGGTCTCGAACCCACGGGCTCAGGCTGAGCCACCAAGCCCGGCCTGAGTATGACTCTTAAATTTAGACTCCGGCCCGGCTCGGTGGCTCAACCTGTAATCCCAGCACTTTGGGAGGCCAAGGTGAGAGGATTGCCTGAGCCCAGGAGTTTGAGACAACTTGGCGAGATCTCATTTCATTTGGGCAACTTGGCGAGATCTCATTTCTGAAATTAAAAAAAATTTTAGCCAGGTGTGGTAGCGCACGCCTGTAGTTCCAGCTACTCGAAAGGCTGAGGCGGAAGGATTGCAGAGCCCAGCAGGTCGAGGCTGCGGTGACCAGGAGCGGCCACTGCACTCCAGCCTGGGCAATAGAATGAGACTCCAACTCAAAAAAAAAAAAAAAAAAAATCACACACACTCAGGTGAGCACAGTGTCTCACGCCTGTCATCCCAGCACTCTGGGAGGCTGAGGAGGGAGGATCACTTGAGGCCAGGAGTTTAAGGCCAGCCTGGGCAGCACAGTGAGACCTCGTCTCTATAAAAAAATAAAAAAGCCCGGGCAACTTGGCGAGACCTCATCTCTACAATAAATCAAAAACTATAGGCGTGGTAGCGTGCGCCTATAGTTCCAGCTACTCGGAAGACTGAGGCGGAAGGATCACGGAACCCAGCAGGTCGAGGCTGCAGTGGCCGGGAACGGCCACTGCGCTCCAGTCTGGGTGACAGAGGGAGACTCCAACTCAAAAAAAAAATCAAAAAAATCAAAAAATTAGCCGTGTGTGGTGGTGTGTGCCTGTTGTCCCAGCTACCCGCGAGGCTGAGGCAGGAGGATCGTCTAAGCCCAGGAGGTCAAAGCTGTGGTGAGCCATGATCACACCATTGCCCTCCAGCCGGGGCAGACCCCAACT